CCAGAGTAGCTAGGATGAAGGGTGTGAAGGCACATGCCGCAAATGTCCAGTTCAGCAAATCACTGTTTGATTGTTGTTATAAGGGTTACAGTTACGTAAGTTAGGAAAAAGAGGCCATTTCTCTTTGGACAATGCCACTCCTTCCCTCACTCTCTCCCAGAACAAATCAGTTTTAAAGAAGTCAATGCCATGGTGCTCGTGGGGTCTCTTAAGATAGTTTCTGAGGTTTAATCATTGACCGTGGCTCACGTCTGTAATCCTAGATCAAAGGATCACAGTTCAAAGCCAACCCAGGCAGGAAGGTCCGTGAGACTCTTATCTCCAATGAACCGCCGGAAAACCTGAAGTGGCGCTGTGGCGCAAGTGGTAGGTGCTCACTTTGAGCTGAAGAGCCTAGGAACAGCACCCAGACCCAGGGTTCAAGCCCCATGACCAACTAAAAACAAAAACAAAAAAACAAGGGCATCTACTGATTTTTTTTATTTCTTTGGAGATTTCAGCCTGCTCAATACAAAGTTCTGATCAGAAAGCCCCATGAGTTAGAAAGAAAAGAGGTATATAACTCTGTCCTCAAGAATTTGAAGAATGAGGGCTGGGAAGGTGGCTCAGTGGTAGAGTGCTTGCCTTGCATGCATGAGGCCCTGGGTTCAATTCCTCAGTACCACATAAGCAGAAAAAGCTGGAAGTGGTACTTGGCTCCAGTGGTAGAGCACTAGCCTTGAGCTGAAGAGCTGAGGAACAGTGCCCAGGCCGAGGTCAGGCTGGAAAAAAAAAAAGAAGAAGAAGAATTTGAAGAATGAGGAGGAACAGTAAGACTTATAGAAGAAAGCTAAAAGTCCCCAAATGGAGTCACAGAACAATACTGCGAAGCTGCTACACATTACAAACCAACCACAGACGGGTTAAAATAGAAGCAGAGATAGTTTTGTTTGGGTGCAGACAAGATTTGCAAATCAGACACAGGCTCAGCTAGAAAGAGCCAGCCTATAAGGAATGGGAACTTGGGTTTTCCCAGCCTAGAGAAGGGGAGGTACAGCCTTAGCATTCTTTAAGGGAGATAAATTGGATTGAGCCACATTTGGCACAAACCAAGATGGCCATAAATTTTGTAAGTGCTTTGGAATGTCCAGGTCAAGAGGCAAACTGGCCAATCTGGTATGTCTCAAACTTTGCAAGGTATTGTTAGATTCCAGAAAATTGTTCTTTTGGGGTGACTCAATTCCCAACAAAATGTCTGTGTGACAATTTAGTCCTGTCTATTAAAAAATTTTCACAAAGACTCAGAAAAGGACTTTTGCTCTCTTTTTGATCATACTGTAGCCATTTTCACTTTTGTATTTTTGGTAATAGCTGGAATTATAAAAGTACTTGATGACCAGTTGGAAAAAAGACTGCACTGGGGAAGCAATCCTTACCAAAGTCTGAAAGAAAGAACAAGAAAAGAGATTTCCTTAGTCCTAGCCTGGCAAACCTCCACTAGCTATTTTGTGCTCACTGTGCAGAAAGTTCTACATGGATGCTTAACCATGAGGCTCCATCACAAATATACATCCAAGGCGCCTGACCAGCCCGAGGCAAAAACAAATCCAGGGCTCAGAGTTGTGTCTTCCAGTTTTCATACCACAGTCATACAGTGGGCAGAGATTAATTTGCTATTCATAAAACCTGATAAGCTGTGACCTCAAAATCTGACCTTTGGATATGAGGACAGAAGACATCATTTCCAGGTTTGGGCTCCCTCTCTCCCCCCCCAAAAAATATCCTATAAATATGTGGATCTTTTCCCCTCAGATGTGTGTGCATGTGTGTGTGTGTGAGTGCCAATACTGAGGCTTAAAGTCAGAGCCTGGGAACTCTTAGCTTTTTTCAAGGCTGGCGCTCTACCACATGAACCATAGCTCCACGTGATTCTCACCATTGTCCTCCTGAGAAGTTTCCCGAGGCTGTCTATCACCTTCCGAAGTGGCTTTGAACTGTTTGGTACCAATTGAGATCATTCTCTAAGACTACAATTATTTAGGTTTTGGCAGTTCAAATCAGATTGTATTTAGAACTTTTTTTTTTTTAAAGAGACTGAATTAGGACATACTTTAACCGATAAAAATTGTGCCTCATCATGGGTTGAAACATCATAAAGATCCCAAATCAACAAGTCAAAGAAAGACTGGATAAATGGGATTGCATCAAATTGAAGAGTTCCTGCATGGCAAAGGAAATAGCTAGCAAGATAAATAGAAAGCCCACAGATTGGGAGAAGACCTGTACCAGCTCTACATCAGATAAAGGCCTCCCGTCTAAAATATACTTAGAGCCCAGAAAATTAAATACCCCAAAATAAACCCTCAATGAAACAACAATCCAGTTAAAAAATAGGCTAAAGACTTAAAGAAAGACTTGGAGGAAGAACAATTGCCAATAGACCCTTGAAGAAATGTTCAACATCCTGGCCTTTAAAGAAATTCAAATCAAAACAACAGTGATAGATATTCCATCTCACCCCAGTTAGAATGCCATTATCAAAAAAACCCACAAAAAATAACAAAAACAGATGCTGGTGGGGATATAGCCAAACAGGAACATTATTACATTGTAGGTAGGAATGTAAACTTGTTCAAACACTCTGGAAAGCAGTATGGAAGTTTTTTACAAGACTAAACATAGAGCTTCCTTATGACCCAGAAATTACACTCCTGGGCATTTATCCAATAGAACACAAACAATATCACATGAAAGCATCCAGCACAACCATGTTCATTGCTTACCATAGCAATGGAATTTCATAGATACGTCCTCAACTCAGTGGATGGATGGATCAAGAAAATGCAATATGTATACACAATGGCATTCTACTCATCCATCAGAACAATACTGTACCATTCGTAAGGAAATGGAAAGAGTTGGAAAAAACGTAAGTTACATGTTTCCTTCATTTTTGGTAACTAGAATATGTCTATAAATCTACAAGTATACACTGTATAGTAAAAGAAAAAAAGATCTGAAACATGATAAATTACACAGGTCTCTAGGCATTCATACACAGTAAGACCAAAGGAGGATATTTTAGGAGAGGAACACAAAGGGGCAATACCTATGTATCTGATCATATAAAATACTTACAGAAATGAACTCCACGAAGTGAAAACAAGAGGATTTTGTTGTTGCTGCTGCTGCTGTTTGTTTTCTTTTCCTTTTGTTCATCTGTCTTTGGGAGGGTCAAGGGGCCACAGAAATGATGGGACATAGGATGAACAAATGCAGCAGTGATACTCACTAGACACTATGTTAAAAATGAACTATACAACTTGTGGATGAGCATGGAAGGGAAAAAGTAAGAGCGAGGGAAAGGGTGACATTGTCCAAAAAGAAATGTACTCTTTACCTGACGTTGGTAACTGTAACCCCTGTATATTATAAATTATTGTTATTATATATTATAGAATTGAAAGCACAGAATCTGTGTGGTAGACAAAATTATTCTCAACCCATGTTACTTGCAAAATAGTACAACAGAGCAATCCAACCTCTCTACCCTAATAGCTCTCCTCCTTGAGCCTAAACTTTGTATTGAACTCAAGCAGGATAGTCAGCAGTAGGACTTGTGCAAGGAGGAAGGGGAATGGGGGGGAGGGGCCTGAGGGTGTGACTTCAATGGCTTCACCTGCCTAGCAAACATGAAGCCCAGTTCAAATCCCAGGACTGCCAAAAAGAGATGCCATGATAAGCACTTACTAAATATTGACAGTTTACAGCTTATAAATCTAACACAAATACTTTTCTAAGAAACCTAGAACAGTTGGACGGTTCCAAATAATTAGCACTACCTAAAGACTGCTGAATCTTATTGCAGAAAAAGTTGTCTAAAGATGTTCATTCTGTTTTTATAGAGAAAAAGTTAATCTATACTACAAAATATTATGATTAAATAAATGTAGCCATTAAAAGTAACATTTTGGGCCAGCTACCAGCTCATATCTGTAATCCTAGCTATTCAGAATAGGTTGAAAGGTGAAGACCAAGGTTCTAAGCCAAAAAGGGCAGAAAAAAATCCATGAGACTCTTATTTCCAGTTAACAAGCAAAAAGTTGGCTAAGTGGAGCAATAGCTCAGGTAGTAGACACTAGCCTTGAGCAAAAAAGCTAAAAGACAGTGCCCAGGCCTTGAATTCAAGGTCCAGTACCAATAAAAATGAAATAGGTTGCTTTATACAATTTTTCTGGTCCTGGGCCTTGAACTCTGGGCCTGGATATGTCCCTAAGCTCCTTTTGTTCAAAGCTAGTCCTCTACTACTTTGAGCTACAACACCACTTCCAGCTTTTTCTGTGATTAACGGGATAAAAAATTCATGGAGAAGCTGGTGGCTCACGCCTGTAATCCTAGCTACTCAGGAAGCTGAGATCTGAGGATTGCAGTTCAAAGCCAGCCTGGGCAGGAAAGACTGTGAGACTCCTATCTCCAATAAACCACCAGAAAACAGGAAGTGGCGCTGTGGCTCAAGTGGTAGAGCGCTCGCCTTGAGCTGAAGAGCTGAGGGACAGCGCCCAAGCCCAGAGTTCAAGCCCCACGACCGACAAAAAAAAAAAAAAAATTCATGGAGGGGGCTGGGAAGGTGGCTCAGGGGTAGAGTGTTTGCCTTGTATGCATGAGGCCCTGAGTTTGAATCCTCAGCACCACATAGGCAGAAAAAACAGGAAGTGGTGCTGTGGCTCAAGTGGTAGAACACCAGCCTTGAGCTGAAGAGCTGAGGAACAGCACCCAGGCCCAGATTTCAGGCCCCACAACTGACCAAAAAAAAAAAATAATTTTTTTTTCATGGACTTTCCTGCCTAGGCTGGTTTCAAACCACAGTTCTCAGATCTCAGCTTCCTGAGTAGGTAGGATTATAGGCATGAGCCACCAGTGCCCAGCCATTATGAATTTTATTATCTCATTAGATCTCAGTTTTAGTTTTCCTCTCTTGGTTTTTCCCCTCTTGAGGAAAAATAAAAACAGTGGGATTTTTCAGTACAACTCATTTTATTATTCCAGTGCAAGAAAACATTTCCAATTCCAATTTCAGTTTCAAAACAAACTGACATGAATGTTTAGTTTTTAATATCTGTGGTTATGAACAATAAAATGTGTAATATAAAAATGAATTCCTTGTTGGTATTATATAAATTCAATGCATAGGAATATTTTCTATGTAAAGCAGTTTTCTAAAGTTGAAAACTAAAAGTCTGTTCATTTAAAATGCTTAGAACTAATAATCATTTCAGGTGATTATAGCGAGCATAAATAAAATGTATGTGTTACACTGTTCAATTTTGTGCTTCCTGGCATTCATTTTTCAGGTCAGTCAACACACAAACACATGCAATAAAAGAGACTATTAAAATGAGACAGTTCAAGGACAACAGGAGTTGTAATTCACTTATGAGGTATCACTCCTATATGTTCAAGCATCACAGTTGTAAAAAATGCCTCTCTTTACAAAGAGTCACTAAAATGTATGTTTTCACTGAGTAATCATTGTTCTAGGAGCTCAAAATTAAATTCCATGCTCCCTAGAATATCAAACACCATGCAGTATGCTAAGAAAATAAAATAAAACTAACTTATAAAGGAGAATTTATTTATAATTTGCTTTTCCCCAAATTACAAATAAGTTCTTTAAGGCTATTTGGAAACTATACGTTTACCTTGTAATACTTTCTGAAATTCTGGCACAAGTATAAATATCAGCCACTAGCTTAAACCCCTCCATTCCCAAAGCAGTGTGGTGGGGCCACTGTCACCCACGGGCAGCAAGTGCGCTTCCAGGGTGCAAAGACCTTTCTACACAGCTGGATTCAAACTGGCCCATCAAACTGGAATATGCCATACTTCCCCGTGGTCAGCCAGCTGGGATCAGAAGCTGTGAGCTGCTCAGCGAGCCCAGGTGGCAGACCCACCTGAATCTCTGCCTTCAGTGTTCTTATGCTGCACAGAGGTGCAGGATGGAAGCCATTCAGAGCCTCATGAAATGGAACAGTGAACTCCCATTTTTTGTCACCCGCCAGCTTCCTATAATTCAAATCACCCTTGAATATAATCAGACATGCCTTCTGTAGTTCAGCATATAAGTCAGGGGCAACCTGGAACATGGCACAGTATGCATAAGGCAGAGTCCAAAATACATGATCGTGGTAAACCCATCTTCCTGCTTGCACGTACTTTTCCCAATCACCCCCACACTTGGCCTGGTGCTCATGATTACCATGTTTTACTTGCTCCATCACCCAGTTAAAGTCACGTAGAGTAGTATCAGAAACAAACCACGGAATCATTTTTCCATGAAAATGAATCTCAGTAGCCAATCGAGAGGACAACAAGAAGTCAGCTAATATAAAATCTGTAATAAGTTCAAACCCAGAATTATCTAGAACAAAATCTACTCTAACTATGGATGTTTTTTTTCTTGTTTTTCTCAATTTACTAAGCAATGACCAGAGATGCTGCATATCATTTACTAAGATGAAAGGTTTTAAGTCTTCCAAAGAATTCAGTAGATCAGTCTTCTGAGAACTACTTTCTCCCCCAGATAGAGACAAATCACATTTATTTCCCCAGAGTGAAATCTGAAAAAGAAAAATACAGAAAGTCATCCTTCTTTTATATAACCAACATAAACTAGCTGGGCACAGATGGCTCACACCTGTACTCCTAGCTACTCAGTAGGCTGAGATCTGACAGCCTGGGCAGGAAAGTTTATGAGACTCCTATCTCCAGTTAACCACCAAAAAGCCAGAAGCAGAGCTGTACCACAAGAGGTAGAGGACTGGCCTTGCGCACAAAATCTCAAGTTCAAGCCCCAGGACTGGTACCAAAACAAAACAAAAAAACCCAAAGCAAAACAAAACAAAAATCCATATTATATAAGGGATGGGAAAGGGTTGCTAAAGTATTCATAAAATTATTTCAACAAAATTCTTAAAATGCGGCTGGGAATGTAGCTTAGTGGTAGAGTGCTGGTCTAGCATGCATGAAGCCCTGGGTACGATTCCTCAGTACCACATAAACAGAAAAAGCCATGGCAATGTGGCTCAAGTGGTAGAGTGTTAGCTTTGAGCAAAAGCTCAGGGACAGTGCCCAGGCCCTGAGTTCAAGCCCCAGGACTGGCAAAAATAAAACAAATTTTACAACATTCACAGAGCCTCACACCAATGGTTCATGCCTATAAAATTTCATGCCTATAATATTCAGAAGGCTGAGAAGTGAGGAATGCAGTTTAAAGCCGGCCTGGTCAGGGAAAGTCCAAGAGACTCTTATCTCCAATTAACGACCAAAAAGCTGAAAGTGGAAGTATGGCTCAACTGATAGAATACCAGGCTTGAGCAAAAATGCAAAGGGACAGAGCCTAGACCCTGAGTTCAAGCTCCAGGACTAGCACAAAAAAAAAAAAAAAGAAAGAAAGAAAAGAAAAATACATGTTTAGGACTATAGGCTTTGAGTCAAACCTGGAGCCAATCCCAGGATCCTCAGTGAATAATCACTGGCAAGTCAGATCTCTCTGGCTCAGGTTTGGTGACTGAAAAATGAGATCATAAGACTTTCCTCACCGACTTATTATAATTAACTAACATGACGTATATAAATAATTTGGTTAATAGTGTACCCAATATTTGCACATAGAAGTACTCAAAAATAGTAGCCAAAACAGACCCTAATCTCATTTGTGATTTAAAATTAGGCATGTGGCCATGCACAGTGATACGTACCTGTCATCTCAGCTGCATGAGAGGAGGCTCAGGTAGGGGCACTGTATGAGCCCAGGAGATCACAGACAGCCTGGGCCATACAGCAAGAGCCCATTTTGCAAAAAACAAAAAACAAAACACACAATAACAAAACTACTAAAATTAAGAAAACACGTGTTCCAAGCCGGGCACTGGTGGCTGACACCTGTAATGGTAGCTACTCAGGAGGCTGACATCTGAGAATCATGGTTCAAAGCCAGTCTGGGCAGGAAACTCTGTGAGACTCTTATCTCCAATAAACCACTAGAAAACCAGAAGTGGTGCTGTGGTTCAAGCGGTAGAGCACTCGCCTTGAGCTGAAGAGTGCACGGACAGTGCCCAAGACCAGAGTTCAAACCCCACGACAGACAAAAAAAAAGAAAAAGAAAAAGAAAACACATGTTCCAATCAAGAGTATTATTAAATAAGGATGTCAGGGAGAAGCCAACTGACAAGGGAAAATAAAGACAATAAACTGTAAAGAAATAAAAGCTTAAATTGGGGAGACAGATGGGTACCGTTTTTTTTTTTAAGTGAAATTTAGGCCACATCAAGGAAGACTGTACACCCCAGAGCACTCACAGCTAATGAGGAGTCAGGGGAGGGCCTGTGCACTAAGAGAATAAAATGCTTATTGTGAGTGGTCTGGGCATACCCCCCCCTCCCCATATTACAAGACCACCATTAGCCATTAGTCTCCCTGAAGTCTCACTTTCACTACACTTCATGTCTTCCTGTCCATTCTCTGTGCTTAGTAGACAGTTGAGTATGCTTCTCATATTTATGTGGGTGCTGAATGGGGGGAGGGGGGAGGAACTTGCCAAATTAGATGACAGAAGACATCCTGGCACTCATCCTTCTTTATTTTTTCAGTCTAAGACCAGGGCTCAAACTCAGTACCGGATGCTTTCCTTCACTGGCTAGTGCGCTACCAAAGGCGCCGCACCTCCAACCCCTGGCTATTTCTTTTTTTCATTCTTCTTCACAATGTATTTCAGTTACAGGACAAGAATATATTCAGACTACTCCTGAAAGTATGGGTATCTAGACATGGCATGCTCAGTGGGGAGTAAAAATAAATTTGAAAAACTAGTATTAAAAAACAACTATTATAATGCATACATTACTGAACTGTAAAGTAATAGTTAAATCAGTATTTACTAGCACTTAAAAATATTCAGATGATTTGATCTTTACCTGTAGAAGTTTAAAAAATTCATCTTTCAGCTGATTTTCATCCAGGTCTTCAATTGTCAGCTGTTGCAAGTAAGTACATAAAACGTTGACAGACTCCTGAGACTCTAAGAAATTTTGGTCTTTGGATTCTTTAAACACATCAAAGTCATCAAGTGGTGGGCTACAGTAGGAGAAAAGCATAGGTGGGACATTTATAAAAGTCCTCCTTGAGACTGGGAATGTGACTCAGTGGGAGTGCTTGCCTAGCATCTAGCATGCATGAGGCCCTGGGTTCTAGTCCTCACTACCACATACACAGAAAAAGCCAGCAGAGGTGGTGTGGCTCAAGTAGTAGAGTGCTAGCCTTGAGCAAAAGAAGCTTAGAGACAGTGCCTAGTCCCTGAGTACAAGTCCCAGGACAGGCAAAAAAAAAACAAAAGTTAAAAAAAATCCTCCTGTCTGTCATTTATTTCTTCCTTCCTTCTCTCACCCCCTCTTTTCCTTCTTTCCACATTCAGTACTGCAACTCAAAAGGAAAGAAAACACCATCTTGTCTCAATAAACAATTATACAAAAATAACTCCCCAAATTCATTTTAATATATTGGCAGAGGCTCCCAAGTTAAACATTTTATTAGAAGTAGTAAATAATTTGGTGACCATGTCTTTAATTATCCAACAGAGATTCCAGAAGAGATTCCAAGAGAAAATGGGTATTTTCTTTAAAAGGTATAGTTATGCTGGGAGCCAGTGGCTCATGCCTTTATCCTAGCTACTCAGGAGGCTAAGAGCTGAGGATTGAGGTTTGAAGCCAGTCCAAGCAGAAAAAAATCCATGAGATTTTCTCTCTAATTAACCACCAAAAAGCTAGAAGTGAAGCTGTGACTTAAGTGGTAGAATGCTAGCCTTGAGCCAAAAAGCTCAGGGACAGTGCCTAGTTCCTGAGTTCAAGCCCCAGGAACAATGTGTACACACACACACAAAGGCATAGATTAACCACCAGTGTCCACGGCCATACTTCCCTGAGGTTTACTGAAGAATCACATTCTCTGTTGGTTCCCTGTACATATCCTTCATACCACCTCCTAGTTTGCAATTACAATTATTTGACTGTCTATATTCCCTAACAGTTCCATAACAACAAGGGTTGGCCTATTTATTTCCAACACTCTGTATCTACATAAGTGTTTAACAGTTTGTTTACAAATGTTTGTGTGGTTTGAAAAGAGATCGATATTCCTTCAAACCACAATATTTTCTGGCTTCTCTTGGAATGTTAAGCTTTAGTTCTCAGTGGGCAACAAGAAAAGGCGACACTGACCTTCTTTATGTAAGAAATAATCATGGAAACTTGATGGGGGGAGGATTGGTTGGGGGGCGGGGGGAGGATGGGAAGGGATGGGAAGGGTAAACAAAAGAGGAGGCTACAATGCTTGATAGGAAATGTACTCATTATCTTGCCCATGTAATTGTAACCCCTCTGTACGGTATTTTCACAATAAAAATAAAAAATAAAAATAAAAGAAATAATCATGGAAGGTCTGTTTTCAAAGCTAGATATCTGATGAGACCCTGAGTTCACAGTGGCAATCAGATTCGAACCCAGAGCCTCAGGCATACAAGGCAAGCACTCTGAGCCACCTTCCCAGCCCCGGGACTGATTTTTTAATACAACATACCAGCATCTACGCAGCACATGACGGTGCCTCCTCTGGGCACTGTCACCAGGTGAGGCTACACCTTTATTCCAAGGACGCTGCCATTGCCCAAAGCACTTTTGCAATTTCCCCTCTGGAATTTTCTTCAGAACCTGTGACACATTATCAAAGTGTCCTGTCAATACATACCTTCATAGTTCACTTTTAAAAACAGCCAAATCACTCAGAGCAATTTCAATGCAATAAAATATGTCATCACACTGAATAAAAGCTTTTTTTGGGGTGTAAAATGAGTAATGACTCAAAAAATAACAAAACCAATTGGTTTTTTGTTTTATTTCTTTTTGAGGCTTATAAACTGGCTCTGAAAGAAATTCCAGAGGACACAAAGGTATTTTTAGCAAGGACAGCATTGTTGCTGACTTGAGTCAGTCTCTCAAGGTGACTTAAAAGGGCAAAAAACTACTTGGGAACAGGGGTCGAGAGCAGGGAGCAGCAAATAGCTCAGACCCAATCAGGCCCTCCACTGGTTTTGAATGACTCATAGACCAAGGATGGTTTTTACATTTCTGAATGGACACAACGCAAATGAAAAACAGTGTTTTGTGACATATCAAATTCAATTTGTTTTGTGTCTACAAATAAAAGTTTCAATGAAACACAGCCATGCTCTTTCATTTGTATATCCTGTTGTTAATTTCTAGATAGAAGTAAAATACCAGTCTATGTGGCATCAGGGTCATGAAATGGCTTTTTTTTTTTTTTTTGCCAGTCCTGGGGCTTGAACTCAGGGCCTTGGCCCTGACCTTGGGTTTCTTTTGCTCAAGGCTAGCACTCTACCACTTGAGCAACAGCGCCACTTCTGGCTTTTTCTGTTTATGCGGTACTAAGGCATCAAACCCAGGGCTTCATACATGCTAGGCAAGCACTCTACCACTAAGCCACATTCCCAGCCAAGATGGATTTTTGAGTAGTACTCTACTCCTGAGAATTAATGATAGACTTCACTCTACCCTAAGATGGATCAACATATACTTTTAGAACAGGTCTTGTCTTATTCTAGAAGTGAATCCTTTCTAAGAGTCCTCAATAAGTTCATACTTGATAAGCCATCTCATATGTACTATAAACCTGTGGATTACAATTGTCAAGAATCTATTAAATTGACAGCATTTAAATGTCCAACAGTACTATTAATATTTGCTGAACTCAAATGGATTCAAGCTTTCACTTGTTTCTATTCAAACCCACCCTTTACAACTTCAAAAAAGTGTAAGTGGCTGGGCATAAGATTACATGCCTATAATTGTAACTTCTCAGGAGGCTGAGATCAAAGCCAGCTGGACAGGAAACTCCATGAAACTCTTACCTCCAATTAACCACCAAAGTGCTGGAAATGGAACTGCATCTGGGCCCTGAGTTTAAGCCTCAGGAGTGGCACACACACACATACACACACACACACACACACACACACAATCAATAATGTATAAGTAATTTAAACCTTTGCTATTTGTTGATGAAGCATTTACCTCTGGATAATGGCTTCATGAATTCTGCGATACATGTAGCATTCTACAAATAACCATGGGGACTGAAACCAGCTTGGTTTCCTATCACTGTCATTCAAAAGGCTCCGCTGATACTCCAGGTATTGATTCCATATGTCAGTATCAGCCCATTTGTCAACCAAGGGGATGATGGGCTTATCTGTCTGCAATTCATTCCGTAACTTAGAAAGAAGGGAAATAGCTTTCTTTTCAGCTTCCATGCCAACCTATGAAAATCAAAAAGAAAAAGACTGTGTTTGCGTACATATTTCTCTAGGATAACACAATTTTATAGACCTAACCTAAATTTAGGAAGGATAAAAAATACCATATTACAAACCTGCATTTGTTTTCCATCCACTCTTATAAGCGTTTTCAGTGAAAACACACAGATTTCCTCTTAACATGCTCATGCCCTATCTTCCCTGCCTTCTTTTTCCTAAGTGCTTTATAATTTTGGGGAGGGGAAAGGTAAGGGAAGAAAGGAGGAGAAAGTAGGAGAAGGGAGGGGAAAGAAAGGGAACAGAAGAGGAAAGGAGGGGAGCCAAGTAAGGGAGGGGAGGCAGTCTGGGCAAGGCTAGGCTTAGGTTCACATCTCTAATCCTAGCTACTCAGAGGTTAATATTTGAGGACTGTGGTTTCGAGCTAGCTCAGGTAGACAAATCTGAGACTTTATCTCCAATTAACCAGCAGCAAGCTGGAATTGAAAGTGTGATTCAAATGAGTGAGTCAGGAACAGAAAAAATCTAATCAAGAGTGAAAAGCCCTGAGTTCAAGCCTCAGTACTAATATAACACAAACAAAAACCAAGAACTCACAAACAAAGTACAAGCCTACAACCTCAGCACTCAGGAGTCTGAGGCAGCAGGATTCTGAAATCAAGGCCAAACTGGGCTACAAGCTGAGATCAAGGCTAGCCTGGGCATTTCAGCAAGACCTTGTCTCAAAAAACAAAATCAATAGTTAATAAGATACACATACATCAAAATATAGGAAATAAGTTTCAAACCCAGCTGAGTATTTTTATAAGATCATTATAACCATATTGATATTAAAGAAATTTGGCTCCTATTATAATATTCCAATAGAAACATTTCTCCAATCTCCACACCCCAAAGCTCCATCCTTTCTTGTTTTCCCAAGTAGAATCTATTATCTATTTTGCTGCTAGAAGGAAAGACTGAAGTACAGAAAAGAGAAGAGTTCATAAAAATTAAGTTTTAGGAACTTAAGAGGAATTCTGCCTCTTCTGGACCTCTACCCTAAATCCTTTCACTCCAACTTCCATTTAACAAGAAATTACAACTGAGATTTCCATAGGGTTCTAAGTACCCTTTAGAGGTACTATTATCCCTATTATCCCACCACTTGCAGGCTGAGGCAGAGGTCTTACAAATTTGAAGCCAGTCTGGATTACAGAGTTTCTAAGAACTAAGATTTGTGTGTCAATGCCAGTTTATCATTGCGTTGATTCAGTGTAAACATTTACAGAATCCCATGTGTGTCAGACACTGCCTAGGGCCAAACAGGGATGGACAACACCAGGCTCCATCTCTGAAGGTCTCATAGCTGACCAAGCAGTTATCCAAGGGTCTGGGCCTCTGACTATTGAGACGGGAGGGCAGGAAATTGTAACACTAAAAGTCTGAGGAAAAAGTGTGGTTTTGCTGTAGCTGGGGGTTTAGGGAGCTTAAAAAGCATATTGGCCTAAGGGGAGAGGTCACAGATAGGAGAGGTCTACACAAGGAGAAGACTATTAAGACTACTAAGAACAGACTTTACTAATGCTGCCATTTTCCTAGGTCTTGTCCTGTGCCCAGAAGAATGTGGAACAAGGTAGAGCTAAAGGGACTATGAATAGCTTTCCTTCCCTTAGGCCTCACATCCTCTGACATTTATGAGCACACAGCCCACGTAGCAATATACTAAGACTTACCACATTTTAGGTCACTCCAGTCAAAAAAAAAATTACCGAACAATTGTAGGAACATAGAGCCAAAACCTCAGACAACCACATTTGGCTGAATTATACTTGAGTGTGAACATGTGCTTCTATCAAAAACAAAATCAAACTTATGGGATAAACACTGGAAGCATACATGAGCAGAAAAGTAAATGTCCAAGACAAGCTAGATCTTAGCAATAAAGAATAATAAGAAGCTAGAAGAGGTGCTGCACACCTGTAATCCTAGCAATCCAGGTATCCCTAGTTCTAGGCCAGCCTGAGCAACACAGTGAGACCCTATGTCAAAAAAAGAAAATAATAGGGCTGGGAAGGTGCTCAGGGGTAGAGTGCTTGCCTCACATGCATGAGGCCCTGGGTTCGATTCCTTAGAACCATATAAGCAGAAAAAGCTGGAAGTGAAGCTGTGGCTCAAGTGGTACAGTGCTAGCCTTGAGCTGAAGAGCTCAAGGAAGAGATTGCACTGCCTGGGACAGCGCCCAGGCCCCAAAACCTACAAGAGGAAGAGGAGGAGGAGAAGGAAGAGGAGGGGAAAGGGGAAGGGGAGGGGGAGGGGGAGGGGGCAGGGGAGGGGGGGAAGGAAAAGAAAATAATAGGAGATTCTCTATTATGCCAGAATTAGTTTAGAAAAAATGCAACATTACGCATCATATTGCCTGAGCACTGTCTTGCTCCATTTCAATTAGGCAAACAAACACCACCCGTTTCTCTCAATCTTGGCTGTGAACTTTTTCAAGAAAATATATGGTGTACACATGATCTTTCAGTCTATTATATAACCCAAAGATTTCTTTCTTTTTTTTTTTCAGTGTCAGTCTTGGGGCTTGAACTCAGGGCCTGGGCTATGTCCCTGAGCTTTTCTGTGCTCGAGGTTAGTGCTCTACCACTTGAGCCACAGCACTTCCAGCTTTTTCTGAGTAGTTTATTGGAGATAAGAGTTTCATAGACTTTCCTGTCCTGGCTGGCTTTGAACAGTGAAACTCAGATCTCAGCCTCCTGAGTAGCTAGGATTATAGCTGTGAGCCACCAGTGCCTGGCAAGCCAAAGATTTCTATTGCCACTTGGAACTGGCTTAAGTGTTAACTAGTAGAACTTATCCTGGCACAAATCCCTGAGTTCAAATCCCAGGACTGCTAAAAAAACAACAACAAAAAAGGTGGAGTAAGAAAAGCTACTTAGAAGGCTGAGATCTGAGGATTGAGGTTCAAGGGGCAGACAAATTTGAGACTCTAATTAACCAGCAAAAACTGTAAAGGTGTTGCTCAAGTGTTAGAACACCAGTGCTGAGCAAAAAAACTAAGTGAGAGTACCCAAGCTCTGAGTTCAGGCTCTAGTACTGGCACATGGGTGCCGTAGTCCACACACACATGCATGTGCAATGGCACACTCCTCCACATACAAACACAGATTTCTGTTGGACCTGAACATATCAAGGCCTCCATCTCCAATAACATAGTAATTTAGAATCTCCTCCATTAATTAAATTGACAAGTAGACCTGTACCTAAACAAGGTTATTTTCAAGTCTTTCTCTGTTCTGAACACCAATAAATGTTTTACTTCACCATTCCAAATGTGCCAATCCATCATGCTGTCCTTTACTTTGAGCTCTGCCTAGCAATCTGAACTTCTGGGTCCCAAGACTTCAAATTAAAAATATAAATATTGCAATTCAACTATGCTTGAAACTGTAAAAGCTTTTCTAAGAAAGTCAACTAGCCATTTGTCTGTTAGAAAAGATGGTATGAGATCTAAATAACTGACAGACTAAATTGTTAAAGCACAATTCTCTTCAGAACTGGAGATGGCTGTTCTATCATTGACAATTATAACAACATATTATGCCACATAAACATTTGGCTCATATCAACTTTTACATTTTACATGAGCTATGCTTAAACCTCCACTACTATTATTCTGAGGAATTAACAAAATTAAGCATAATTCTTACCTCTCCATATTTCTCAAAAAATTCACTTTTATGTCGATGCAACGTATCAATAACCTTGGTTAAAATCTGTGGTGTTCTGTCTTTCATTGTAATATATGCAAATGATCTAGAAAAGAACCACATACAAATATATTGGTAAGTAGCTTTGACACAAGAAGGTTGGCCAGTTTTTAGTTTCTGGAATGCCTTATTTAACTAAAAATTCCCTTTCGTGACAAACCAAAAGGTACACCAGTTTCCTACTGCAGGGCATTAAAATGTGAGAACTTCCTTCAAAGCGTCACTGCAAACCAAGTCATCAGGATGCCTCCAGTCGCAATCTCTCCCAAGTCTGTTCACATGTTCTTACCTTTCCCATTCTACCCTTTTTCTATACCAGAACCAGTTTTACTTAGGAGACATGAACACCACACTGGGTTCAGTTTACTTCCTGTCTAAGGAGGGTCACTTTCTTCTAAATGTTCTCTGCAACATTTTCAAGAGCCGATTTCGAATATGAACTTGGCTGTTCAACGTATGCACAGGGATGCTACACATATATATATATATATATATATATATATATACACACACATATGCACATATGTGTATGTGTACATAACATATACACATGTGTGTATACACACACACTGCGGTGGAAACTTCGCGTGCACTCAAACCCCCAATCACGGTCATCTCCCCGTACCCGGGTGCCAGTTAGATCAAATGGAAAATTCCTCAAGTCAACAGTTTGAGTGTTGAGTAACTTTTATTGCAATGCCGGGTACTTGTCCTGTGGCGTGACTAGTTCTGTTCATTCTTCTACTGTACAGGGGAAAGGCAGCCACGCTCCCGGAGGGCTCGAGTTTCAGGCATCTTCCGGGAGCCTGGCAACCACCACTCGCCGTCCTTGTCCTAACTTGGGAGACTATGAATTAATCCGACCCGCGCCGGGAAGGAGCGCGTCTCCACACTGCCGAGGCTTTCAAGAAACTTCCAGACCCCGGGCGCAGGTTCCCAAGTGGCCGCTACCGGCTTGGCCCGCGCGCCGCGCGGACGGCCTCGGGTCGCGGAGCCGCACGGAGGGACTTGAACTCGCCACCTCGGGGCAGCGGGCGCCCGCCGCTCGCTGCCTACAGTCCCCAGCCAGGCCTGGCTCCCCGCTAAAGTGGCCAAGAGAAAAACGAGACGAACCCCACGTCCCGGGCCGAGAGAAAGTCCGGAGGCTCCGCCATCGCGTCGGGCGCCACGCACCGTCGCGGTGCCGCCGCGAAGGAGTCGGGAAAGGGGGGAGGTGTGGCTTTAAGAAACCTGCTTTTGAATGAGAAACTTTATTTGGGGCCCGAACAAACAATGTCAGGGTCGGGGGCGCGGAGCCCTTCCGGGGACGCAGGCGGCGCAGAGGGCGGGGCGGGGAGGAAGCAAAGCCGCGGGAGGCGGTCAGAGAGCGGAAGAAGAAAGCGGACGGAAGGCGGAAGTAGACCAGGACCGGAGGTCTCAGAACCTGGAGAGCGGAAGAGGTCGCGGCGGTGGGGTCACGTGATCCTCACGTCACGTGGCCCTGGCAGCTCGCGTCCCGCCCAGCTCGAAGTTCGTGCGCTTGCGCAGTCGCAGGCGCCAGTCCCGAGTACTTCACCGTGAGCCTTGGTCCGGGACGCGGGCGTCTGCGGCCGGGACTGTCACCGCTCGGCGCTGCGGCGCGATCCTGCGATCCGGGGGCTTCCGTCTCTTCCTGCGGCGAGGTTAGTGACTCCCTTTCCCCAGCGCTTGTGCGGCCGGGCCCCCGGCTCCGTCCCGGCTCCTGCCTGCCCCAGCCCTCTCGGGTCACCGACGTCGTCAGCGCCGCCGTGACCCTCGGCCCCTGGCGGAGATCTTCGGGCGACTGAGCGGGACCCGAGCACCCGCTCAGCAAACGCTGCCCTCCCCGCTTGTATCTGCAAAGGAGAAGAGCCTCGTGGATATCTATTGTTTTGGAGCTCCAGATTGGGCACATGTATTTAAAATGCTCATGTTCAGCGAATATCTTTTATCAGAAGATACCTATTTTTTCTTTTTTTTGCCAGTTCTGCGGCTTGAACTTAGGGCGTGGGCACTGTCCCTGAGCTTCTTTTGCTCAAGGCCACAGATCTACCACTTGAGCCACAGCATGGAACCCAGGGCTTCATGCGTGGGAGGCAAGCAGCCCCAGAAGATACCTATTCTTAAAAAGCAGAAATGTGCCTGATGATAGTGGCTCAAGCCTGTAATCCTAGATACCGAGGAGACTGAAATCTGAGGCTCAGGGTTCAAAGCAAGCTCAGGCAGAAAAATGTGTGAGACTCCTATCTTCAATTAACTAATAAAAAGCCGAACTGGAGCGGGGTGCCGGTGGCTCATGCCTGTAATCCTAGCTACTCAGGAGGCTGATATTTGAGGATTGAGGTTCAAAGCCAGCAGGAAAGTCCATAAGACTCATATCTCCAATAAACTACTCAGAAAATCAGAAGTGGCTCTGTGGCACAAGTGGTAGAGTGCTAGCCTTGAGCTGAAGAGCTCAGGGACAGTGCCCAAGCCCAGAGTTCAACCCCATGATCAGAAAAAAAAAAAGCTGAAGTGGAAGTGTAGTTCAAATGGCAGAGCATCCCTGGAGTGACAAAGCTAGGAGAACAGCGCCCAGGTCTTGAGTTCAAGCCCCAGTGTGGACACTGTGCTCAAGAACTGAGTGGCTGCCTTGTACTTCATTTTTGAAAGTTCCAATGAACTTGAATGCCTTAGGCATTATTGTCTGAAGATATACAGCATAAAACACAAAAGTGTTTTCCCAGAACATTCTAGAGAGAAAGATGAAAATCTTCTTCCCTCTTTAATATTTATTTTTAGGATGGTCACTAACATAAATTTTACTTACTTGCCACTTGATCAATCATTTGCCACCCCCAGTAAGGTTTGAAAGGGATTTGGTGCTGTTTTTCACTATCAGCAACTGTCACAATGGCCTGGCACACAGTATGTTTCTCATATGAATAACAAACTAAAAATACAAGGTAGGCAAGTGATGTTAAATGGAATGATAAATAAGAAATGGAGAAAGAGAGTGAGTGTCAGTTTTGGGGCTTTTGGCTGTAGCTGAAACACAGCTATACTTGCAGGTTGTGTGATGTGGATAAAGTAGCTGGAGAAGAATTCACTAGGTGGAAGAAGTTTAACAGAGATCTGAAGGAAATGAGAAAAGGAATCTTAAAAGATCCCTGCAAAAGCACTAAGTGTAGACATCCAGACGGCCAAGGTAACTAGAGAAGAATTAACAAGGGAGAGAGCTATAGGAAATGTCAGAGTGGTGGAAAGGGCCAAAAATGTAGCTCCATTGGGGGCAGGGATGGGAGGGGGAAGCTGAGGGGAAAGGTAAGGAAGGGTGACATTGTCCAAAAAAAAAGAAATGGATTGGGCTGGGAAGGTGGCTCAGTTGTAGAGCTCTTGCCTTGCATGCATGAGGCCCTGGGTTCGATTCCTCAGCACCACATAAGCAAAGAAAAAAAAAGCTGGAAGTGGCGCTGTGGCTCAAGTGGTAG